AGGATTACAGCCAACCCCTAGTGCCTAGTAAATTAGAAGTCTGGCCTGGAGGAAGCAGCTTTCAAAGTATGCAGGTAAACCTCCTTCATGGAAAGACTGGAAGATGGGAGGTTTTGCCTGCTCCCTCTGTGCTGAGTCCTGTGGGGATAGATGTGGTGATTGCGGTGTGCCCCGTAGGAATTGCTTCTGTGTTTGCTATAGTCCTGTGGGTCTCATAGTCATAAACTTTACTGGTTTTCAGAGCTAGGTGTTTGGCACCCAGTCTTTATGGCTGGGGTGCTAGATGTAGGGTCCAAACCCTTTTCCCTTCTGGGAGAAGCTGTGAGTTGGGGGTTCCGTCCTGATTGTATGGCACAATGCCAGGAGTAGGGTTTTATGGTAAGAGTGTGTCTCAGCCTTTCCCACCCATTTTGATGTGGGTATTTTCTTATTCATCTGATATACAGGAGTCACTCGGCCAGTTTCTGGATCTCTATCAGAGGGCACTGCCGCATGTGTAGCTGTAGGTTTGATGCATCTGTGAGGGCAGGGAGCTCAGGAGCCTCCTATGTCACCATCTTGGATGACTCCTCTCCACCATTCTTGCAGAATGCTTTCCTGGCTTCATGGTGAGAAGGGAGGTTTGGGGATGAAGGAAAGAGTTGTCATTCTTTGAAACAGCACTTAGTGAGTACCTACTATATCCTAGGCATCCTGGGCACTAGAGGTTATAAGGACAAAATAGGCACAAACCTTGTACCAACAAAGCTCTGAATTTTAGTGAAGAGACAGGGAAACAATATTTCAGTGTGAGGAATGTATAACAGAAGCATTTACAGTTGTCTGAGAGCTTCAAGGAGGTAGTGGGGTGGGCAGATGGCTTCATGCAGGTGACATATGATCTGGGTCTTGAAGGTTGAGTAGGAGCTTGGCAGGCAGGGATGGGTATGCTCCCTTTAGACACGATAGATTTGTTACTCAGTGAGAGCAGTCACTGTTCCCAAACTACTTTGATTGGCTACTGCCACTAAAAATGATTTCCTTTGTGGCTTTGGACAATACCATTAAAAATCCAGAAGTCTCAGTTTTCCTTCCAGTTGAATAGGGAGAATAACATCTACTCCTTGGAACCACTGGGAAAGGGAATCAATTTATGTGGTTTGCAAGAGCAAGTGTTTACTTATTAGAAAGCCTCCAGAGGGGATATATGGAAGGAGACGGAGCATGGGGAGGAGAACAAGCAGCAAGAACAAGGGGAAGCAAATGGCACTGGACTCTCATTAGCCTGAGATGGATTGACCTTCTGTCACCGATTCCCCAAACTCCCAGCAGTTTCAACCTAAAGCTTGCTCAATATATTAAAACCGATTTAAAACCAATTTTTGAGTTTGCTTTTTTTAAAGAAAAATATTGCATTAATCAAAAAATGCATTAAGTTTAGGGTCAAGCAGCCTAACTGATGAAAAAAAGCCTGACTGGGCCCCAGGAGACATGGGCTTGCTTGGCTGGATAATGTAATATCAAAGACTAGAAACCACTCAGCTTTCAAGGGAGAAGAGTGGAGAGCAGGCACAAATACTGAAAAGAGAAACCTTACAGGTGAATTGAATTGAAAGGAAATGTGAAGAGGGTTAATGAGGGTACTTTGTTAGTACGAACAAAATCCAGACACGAGGCTGCATCCAAAGCCTTCAGTTCCAAGAGGGGGCCTGCAATTAGATTTTATTGTGGGATGTGTAGAGTGTCCTCCTTTCAAAGATTTCATATCAGTGGAATTACAGAGGTCATCTGCTTTTTGAGAGAAATAGAGGGAACAGACAACAAATTGGTCCTACTAAAATAAAAGTCCTTGCTCTTACTGAATGGAATTGGGTCTTTTAGTTTGATGAAATAGTTCATGTGGTTCATCCCTTTCCATGTCCAAGAGTAGCTATGATTGAAATCAGGAGGCTTTGGAGACTTGGTAAATCAGATCATAGAGAATTCACTGGTTATTCTGTATTCTTTCCCCTCCTCTGGCCTGTACCTGGAAGGCTGACTCCCCCAGGCTGTGCTGCAAGGACCCCTCAAGGTTCGCTTTTGGTTGGATGTGGAGACATCAGCAAGAGATCAGAGGGTGGGAGAGAGAAGTGGAGATGTCCGTCTTTATTCCCTTCCTGCTTGGGGCCCACTTCTGGCAATGCTGGACCCTCTGTGGTTATACTGGCTGTCAAGAGGCCCCACGTCCATGGCTCCAGCCCCCAGGGTTATTCCCTGTGTGAGACCATTTCCTTCTTTTGTCCCTTCAGGCCTCGGGCGGTCATGGCTCCCCACTGACGCTGCCCTCGGAGGCCCTCCATGTTGTTTGGGTTCTTGCGACTCTTCCCCACCACTGTAGGTCCTCCGTGACCTTTTAGTTAAAATCTCATCATGTGCACATTTGAGTTGGATTCTTTTTCCTGTAGGACCCTAATAAATCAGAGACATAGGGGAAAAGGGCAGCAAAACCCCAAGAAGTTGCCTTCTGTTCTCAGGCAACAGTGGATAGACAGACTCTTCCAGCTCGATTGGTCAATTTGTTTTGTTTCAAATAAGAGGGGTATGAGGTTGGTCCAGCAGCTTGAGCGAGGAAGGAAGGAGCCTCGTTTCAGGGAGGTCTTATTGAGGGCCACCTCTTCCTGAATTCTTTCTGGGATAACTGTCCTGAATTAACTATTCTTTTTCTGAATTCCTATCATACTGATTGTGCAGCCCTTGTGGCATCTAATAAAGTAATATAAAGTCTGTGAGAGCAGGTACTTTATCCCCAGAGCCTAGAACAAAGCCTAATGGATTATAGGTGTTTAACACATATTTGATGCATGAATGAAATAATGTCTTTTTCTTTATAGATGTAACGATCACTCAACAAACATCTATTAAATATCTGTGCACCAGATAAGATATTTGCCTCTGTATCTTTGTCCATGCAGTATTTTCTGCTGGGATGCTCTTTATCATCCTTAATCCACCATCCTTTTGACAAACTCTGATCTACCTTACATGACTTTTCTGGGGAAGCACTATACAAAGCTACAGATTTCCTAAACTTCATTTTAGCATATCAATATTGTTATATATTTTCCTTTAAGTCTCCCCTATGACTCCTTTATGTGACTCTGAAGAAAAATATATTTATCTGCAGGGGCGCTTGGGTGGTGCAGTGGGTTAAGTGTTTGACTCCTGATTTTGGCTCAGGTCTTGATCTCATGGTCATGGGATTGAACCCTGTGTCAGGCTCTGTGCTCAGTGAGGAGTCTGCTTGAGATTCTCTCTCTCCCTCTGCCCCTGCCCCTGCTCACTCTTTCTCTAAAATAAATAAATAAATCTTTAAAAAAATACTTATCTGCAGTTTTCCAGCAGAATGTCTGGTGGATACAAATGCCTGATTTAATGTTTGCTAATTGGTGGTCTTTGCAGATACAGGCCCCTGGGTCCTGGTCATCTATGCTTAAGGCCAGCTCTAACCTTCTCCCACTTTCCTGAGTTGAACATTAAGGTTTGAATGGCTTTAAAAAATTCTGGGGGGTCACCTCAATCTTTAACACCATGGTTGGTTAGTTCTTCTTGAATGGAAGCCTTTGTCCATGTTTGTGGTCATAAGAGCATATGGATGTAAGTTGCTAGACCAACTCCATTTCTTGGCATCTTGGTTTAGTCTAGCTCTTCTGGGCTACAGCGGTGCTGAGGCAGGGGTGTCTCAGGGATAATATTATACCTGACATCAGTATGCAGTGAGCTCGTATTTGAATGCCCGTGGGCTAAAATAAAATCACCAGAAAGAGTATTTGCTGCCTCTTTTGCAGAAATGGCAATTCAGACCTATCTCCCAATATGCTCATGGCCAACATTTTAGAAGCCGATGAGAAGACCTGAATTCACTAGTTACGTTTATGTGGTTGTGTTAACATTAGTCAATAAGCCCACAGAATACCTTACAAAGATATACTTCTTTATGCTCTGATTTCAGAACATTCAGATATTTTAAATTCTGTACTGTAAAATTAAAATGTTCTGAAATTTCTACGTCTATTTATGAGATTCCTGTCAATAAAGTAACTAAAAGATTTATCTGGGTAGATTTGATGTTTAAAACCTAGTTAACATCTCTATAAGTAGAAAAATAGTGAGCAAATTCATCAACTGTGCTGAAATTTTTATTCCTTTCCTCTAAGGTTTGGCTGATCATAATTAATAAATAAAAGAAAATGTATTTGCATTCCCCTAAGTTTGATATAGTACATTGGAGATTAAGGCTCAGTAAACACGTTCTTTACCTAATCAAGACTGAAATACAATTTAGCATACTTCATGATATTGCTTAGAAACAATAATATCCTTGCATCATATAATACTTCTTTTTTTTTTTTAAATATTTTATTTATTTATTTAATTGACAGAGAGAGAGAGACAGCGAGAGAGGGAACACAAGCAGGGGGAGGGTCAGAGGGAGAAGCAGGCTTCCCGCCGAGCAGGGAGCCCGATGCGGGGCTCGATCCCAGCACTCTGGGATCATGACCTGAGCTGAAGGCAGTCGCTTAACCAACTGAGCCACCCAGGCGCCCCGCATCATATAATACTTCTATGCACATCATTCATGGAGATAGTTTCACCACTGATTTTAAACAAGGCACTTTTGAAAAAACTATAAACGTGGGGTTCATATTGATTGATGTGATTCAGAAATTGTTAAATTGTTTTCTCTCTCCTCTAAAGACTCCTCTGATCATGCTATGTTCCTTTCCCCTATTCCATATACCCCTGGGGCATATCCCAATGGCCATCTACAGCCTCACCCTGAGGAGGTGGGTGGTTCTGCGAGGGTCCTGAGGGTGGGATAGCCAGAGTCCCATTCCCCGTGGCTATAGGACACTAGTCTGGTTTTGGGTTTTTGGTTTTGTTTTGTTTTTTTTAGATTGGAACCCTCCTGACCTTCGGGATAAAGCTTCTGTCTCTCACCCATATCCCGAGCCCTATTTTGTAGAAGGAAGAGGGCACTCTACCTGAGTAACTGCTCCTGAGGCTTCAAATAGGGTGCCGCATTCACCTTCATGGTACGCTTCCTTACAGTCCCGGCAGAAGACGAACTGCAGAAGAACACACACGTGTTAGGAATGGGTTTGTTGGCTGCATTTGGACCTAACATGTTTTTCCTTTTCCAAGCTCACTACAGTCATTCCTCTGACTCGTGTGGTGGCTTCTGTGCCAAATTACTTTTTGCAAAGAAAAATAAAGTTATATTTTGATGGAATTGTTCGCTCTTTACTAAATAATGTTCCAAGCCCTATAGCAGGGTTTCAAAGATGCATGAGTCTTATTTCCTATCTTTATGATGTTTCCAGTCTGGCAGAAGAGACAAGAATGTAAATAAATACCTGTCGTTGAGTGGTACTGGTGTTAGGATATGAGGAAATCAACTTTATTCAAGAATTTCACATCCAAGATCTGTTTACATACACAGAGGATTTATAAGTTCATGTTAGTAGACTTAGTTTTGCACTGAAAGCCTATTACGGAAAGAAGAAATAAATTGTGTCCCCTGTGAATTTATATGGTGAAGACTGACCCCCAGTACCTCAGGACGTGATTGCATTTGGAAATAGGGTCTTTGAAGAGGTAAGTATGGTAAAATGAAGTCATGGGAGTCGGCCCCAATCCTGCGTGACTGGTGTCTTTATAAAGAAGAAATTAGGACACGGACACACACGGACTGAGAAGTGACCGTGGCGGGACACAGCAAGGAGGCAGCCATCTGCAAGTCAGGAGAGAGGCTTCAGTGGAACCAACCCTGCTGACACCTTGTTCCTGGGATTTCAGCTCGTGGGAGTGTGAGAAAATAATTGTTGTTGTTGGAGCCCCCCCGTCTGTGGTACTTTGTTATGGCAGGCACGGGTAGCTGATACGTGGCCTGGAGTGGATCTGCTCACCTGGGGACGGTGCCCCTTTCATCATTCACACACCACAGAATGGAAGAGACCTGGGGAGCAACTCACTGCTCTTCCACCCTCCACCTTCAGGGAAGGAAGCTACAAAGCGAGTGCTGGAAAAGGAAGCTGTCCTCCCACCGTCGGGAATCTGGAGGCCCCTCTAGAACCATCGCCACCAGCCATGCTCCAGAGGGTGTGGCTAAGGGTGTGGGCCCTGCAGTCGGACACATGGGATTGAAGCCATCATTCCGTCATCCACTGACACTCCCCGGGAAGCCACCTTGGCACCTGTGCCTCAGTCCTGTGCCCTTTGAGGAGCGAGGGTAACAACAATAACTATCCCGTCGGATCCGTGTACGCGGTGGGTGAGCTAGTCCATGTCAGCTGACACACGACATGTTCTGAACATCAAGCAGATAACAGCCAGGGACTATTTCCTCCCCTCCCATCCTGTTTCACAGCTGAGGAAGGAGTTGCTTTACCAGAAAACAGGTTCCCTTCCAGAAACATTCTCTAACTCCCTGGGGAGGAACACGTCTCACAGTAGAAACTGTATTCGGGGAAGATGCTCTGGCAGAGAGGATCAGGGAGTACGGAGTGTAGGCAGTGGGGGGTGGTTTTCCAGCACTGGCCCAGAATGAACTGGTACTCTTCCCATGGAGAGGCAGGTTCTAGGTCTCTTCTGCTTAAATATGCATGCGTTCACTACTTGGCCAATAGGCCATGGTGGAGGTGATGGTATGCCGCGTTCTGGGCCCAGGCCTGAGGAAACGGGCAGCTTCCGCTGCTGCTAGTGTTCCCGAGAGGATGGTGTACAGAGGAACCCAAGCTGTGGGCCAGCAGGCCTGGCCGAGCTACCAGCAGGCAGCTGGCACCAACCTGCCCGCTGGGCATCTGAGCTGTATTTCCAGGGGCTCTTCCAGCCCCTGGATTAGTTGCCCCAGCTGATCCCAGGCGGAACAGAGACAAGCTGTCTTTATAGGACCCTGCCCCAATTACGGCCTTGTCGGAAAAAAACAGGAATTCCAGCAAAACAGGAACAAGACTGTTGTTGTTTTAAATCACTAAGTTTTGGGGTGTTTCTTACACAGCAGCGAGAATCCAGAAGACTCAGAAAAGTTGCAGAGGCTTGAAGTTCTCAAATGAATATTCTATAGCACGAGCCAGGAGGTCAGCGCAGTTTTGCTTCAGATAAGACTGGTTTGAACTGATAAACAAACCCCCAGACAAACAGGGTACAGAAAAGTACAGCTTTATCCCCCAATACATCACCACCCTTCCTTGCCTCCAAAAGAACAGCCCGTCTGAGGCCGTTTTCCTTCATGCTGTCTTCACCACAGAAACAGAACTCCCTCCTTCCCTGTGTCCAATTTCTTGTTTCAACAGCTCATCTGAAAACTGTCTTAATCACTGAGCATATTAAACAAGAAAGGCAAGGATTTGTTAAGGAAAAAGCCTCTATAGATATGAGGCAATCTACCTTCTAGGCATTATTTTCAGAGTGTTGTAGTCTTATTTCTTCTCACAGTGAAGAGACTGGTCCCCATTTTGTGGGACATAAACTTTATTTAAAGATTCAGGTTGGTGGGAGACAGGTGTGTCAGGTTGTCTTTACACAATCTGCCAACACCACTAGGTTTTAATTTCTGGCATTTTTTATTTTCCCTGAGCTGAAAGCTAATCCAGTGAACAGAGAATGAAGTGGATCTTAGGGCCTCCTCTTAAGATGAAAAAGAATTTTTTTTTTTTTCGAATTAATGTGTCCACTCATCTTTGGGTTTGCCCCAGAGCCATTGCTTTGCTCTCATGCGCTACGTTCGAAAAATGCAGCCCGGACGGTTCAATCATTGAGAGGCGCTCACTGTGTGATTTCATCCCAGGGCCTTCCACAGAAGCAATCCTGATCTCTCGGCGTGACAGGGAAGACACTCCACAACTTATTAGCTAGTGGATGAGATATAAAATCAGTTTCGTGGTAGACGAACACCCTGGAGGTTGATCAGTTTGTCAGAATAAATAGGTCTTTCCTGACACAAAGACATTAAATCCCTTTCACACTGGGACTACAAAGAATGGACTAAAAACATACAGGAAAGGAAGTGCACACGAAGATGAAGGCCTCCCCGTTTCAGCATGGCAAGAGGCAAGCAAAAGCTGCAAGAATCCGCTGGTGATAATTTCACATTAGTGTACTTGTTCATTTGCTTCCGTTCAGAGAGTGTAACTTAAAAGTAGAGATATCATGCAGCGGGCTTCCTAGTTAAATAACTTGCATCTTTCTCATACAAAATGGGGAAATATCTAGAAGGTCTGATCTTGAAAATGTTCGGGTGTTTTGTTTTGTTTTAAAGTGGGAGAGAGACAGAAGGAGAGGGAGAGAGGAGAGAAAGAATCTTAAGCAGGCTCCATGCGCAGTGCGTGAGCCCCAGGCAGGGCTCGATCTCATGAAGCCGAGATCATGACCTGAGCCGAAATCAGGAGTCAGATGCTTACGGTTGCCTGAGCCATCCAGGTGCCCCCAAAATGTTCAGGTTTTTAATTATGTTATTCAGAATTCAACCAGGTGCTTATACAAGTGCTTAGGCCCTTTAGTTCCCAAACTGTGCACTGAGGCACTCTGGAGTGCACAACAAGCTCATGGGGGTGTAATGGGATATTTTAAATTTTTGAAGAAGACACAGTGATACTGTTGTTCACTGTGTGAATTACTAACTCAAGGCGGTTCATGGTGTTACTGTGGATTGTGCTTCCCTTCTTCTGATGACATATCTTTGCAGAGCTGGGTTTTTGGTTACTGTGATAGAAAAACAACTACCATGTGAGCATCTGTCTGGAACAGGAGATGTAGTTATTTAGGAATGAAATAAAAATATTTTTTTCTTTGAATTTATGTGAACTATCTTTTCAAATGACTATTGTGTTGCTAAGACATTAATTCTTATTTATCTACTTGGACCTGAGTATTTAATAAACAAAACTGTTTGGACCTAAGTATTTGATAAACAAAACTACATTTCCTCTGGTTTAGGAGCACCATGAAACACTTACTGAGTTGCTAGGGGCAGGGCGGACAGAGTAAGGTTGGGGAACTCTGGCTTAGGCATACACAAAACTCCTTGAGGTAAGGTTTTGGGCCAGTTTTCAAACTGTCAGTGGCACAGATATTTCCAGAGAAAGAGCTTGAGAAGATAGATCCGGCTCCCACATTTTCACATTCGGGGTGCTGACCTTGCCTGTCTCTCATCTGGGGCACATGGGTCTTGTTCTAACCCATAATCAGAAGGCTGCAATTTACCTAGGACTTGCTATGAACTAACTGGGGTCTCACATTTGCTAAAGTGACCTTCGGAATAAATACTAATTGAATGGAAGGGACTACCAAACATTTATGCAGTATACTTTTCCTGGATTGTTTTCTCTTGAGATAGATCTGATAAATGCCACCAATTTCTGTAGTTAACTTTATTTATTTATTTTTTTTAAAGATTTTATTTATTTATTTGACAGAGAGAGACACAGCGAGAGAGGGAACACAAGCAGGGGGAGCAGGAGAGGGAGAAGCAGGCTTCCTGCCGAGCGGGAAGCCCGATGCGGGGCTCGATCCCAGGACCCTGGGATCATGTCCTGAGCCGAAGGCGGATGCTTAACAACTGAGCCACCCAGGCGCCCCTGTAGTTAACTTTAAATTAAAAAAAAAATTAAAGACTTTTAAGGGACACCTGGGTGGCTCAGTTGATTAAGCATCTGCCTCCTTCTCAGGTTATGATCCCAGGGTCCTGGGATCGAGCCTGGCATTGGGCTCCTTGCTCAGCGGGGAGCCTGCTTCTCCCTCTGCCTCTACCGCATCCCCCACCGCTTGTGCTCGCTCTCTCTCAAATAAATACATAAATAAGTAAAATCTTTAGAAAGAAAGACTTTAAAAAATTATAAACATCTTACATACTTAAAATGTTGGCTCTCTAAACTCTATCCCTTATATTAGATTTGACTAGAAAGCAAGACATATGGACTGTATTAACTTAGCTCCTATGATTTTAGCTTTCCATGTCAACTTGGCTAGACCATAGTTGTCAATTATTCGATCAAACGCTAGTCTGGGTGTTTCTGTGAAGGTATTTTGTAGGCCTATAACATCTATACTCAGTTTGCTTTAAGGAGGA